ACTCAGACTATTGCAGGGAGACCTGTCTGACCAATAGGAGAGCTACATTGACCACACAGGGACCATACTCAGACTATTGCAGGGAGACCTGTCTGACCAATAGGAGAGCTACATTGACCACACAGGGACCATACTCAGACTATTGCAGGGAGACCTGTCTGACCAATAGGAGAGCTACATTGACCACACAGGGATAACAATGACCATATAATCACTGAACCAAGATCATATTCTGACCACACAATGAGCTGCCTGACTGCAATTCACCTTCAATTTCCAGCCAGTCATTTCATTGTAGGAAAGTCCACAGAGTATTAGATTGGATGAGTCACAGACTCCTTGAATGACAGACAGACGGTCCTGCCCAAACATCAGCAATTGACTCTCTCTCTGCCTATTGATTGACTGGCTACTGCCCTGTCTTGAGAGTGGCAGGCAGACAGAGCAGAGGAGAATACTAAGCCATGGAGTGTGTGTGTGTCTGGGTGGCAGGGACAAGGCATTAGTCTGCAGGCAGGGCAGGAGCTGTCAGCCAGTCAGTCAGCCATGGGCCACTGCTGATGCGTTCAGTCCACTGTTTGTCTGAGACACTCTGAATGAACGGACAGAATAATAAAAGGAGGAGGGGATGGACCTGGGACTTGACTCAGCAAGTGTGTGTGTGTGTAGGGGTGAGATGAGGTCTGTGTGTGTGTGTGTTGTGTGTGTGTGTGTGTGTGTGTGTGTAGAGGTGAGGTCTGTGTGTGTGTGTGTGTGTGTGTGTGATATGAACATTCAGTACTGATGTTTGTCACTTGGACACATGCAAGTACGCACACACAGCCAGTCATATTTTCTCCTATATAGTGGTAGAATAGGTTTGTTGTTCATGTTATTCCTATACTGTGTGATCCCTTGCATTCCTCTACGCTGTCTGTCTGCTCCAAGTACAGCTTTAACAAGTTACACAACACAATACCCAACCACCAAGCCCCTTCCCTTCTCCAGCAGTACCAACATACTATAACATCCAGCTGTATCGACGTACTATAACATCCAGCTGTACCAACATACTATAACATCCAGCTGTACCAACATACTAGAACATCCAGCGGTACCAAAATACTAAAAACACCCTGTTTCCACATACTTAACATCCAGCTGTACCAACATACTTATAACATCAGCTTACCAACATACATAACATCCCTGTACCAACATACTATAACATCCCTTACCAATACTTACATCCACTGACCAACATACTATAACATCCAGCTGTACCACTACTTAAAAATCCAGCTGTACCAACATACTATACATCCACTGTACCGACTTACTATAACATCCAGCTGTACCAACATACTATAACTCCACTGTACCAACTACTATAACATCCAGCTGTACCCAAATACTTAACATCCAGCTGTACCAACAACTCTAACATCCAGCTGTACCGACGTACTATAACATCCACTGTAAACCCAAAATACTTAACATCCACTGTACCAACATACTATAACATCCACTTACCAACTTTCTATAACATCCAGCTGTACCAACATACTATAACATCCAGCTGGACCAACATACTATAACATCCAGCTGTACCAACATACTATAACATCCAGCTGTACCAACATACTATAACATCCAGCTGTACAAACATACTATAACATCCAGCTGTAACCAACATACTATAACATCCAGCTGTACCAACATACTATAACATCCAGCTGTACCAACATACTATAACATCCAGCTGTACCAACATACTATAACATCCAGCTGTACCAACATACTATAACATCCAGCTGTACCAACATACTATAACATCCAGCTGTACCAACATACTATAACATCCAGCTGTACCAACATACTATAACATCCAGCTGTACCAGAATACTGTAACATCCAGCTGGACCAACATACTATAACATCCAGCTGTACCAACATATATAACACCCAGCTGTACCAACATACTTATAACATCCAGCTGACCAACATACTATAACATCCAGCTGTACCAACATACTATAACACCCAGCTGTACCAACATACTATAACATCCAGCTGTACCAACATACTATAACATCCAGCTGTACCGACGTACTATAACATCCAGCTGTACCAACATACTATAACACCCAGCTGGACCAACATACTATAACATCCAGCTGTACCAGAATACTGTAACATCCAGCTGTACCAACATACTATAACATCCAGCTGTACCAGAATACTGTAACATCCAGCTGTACCAACATACTATAACATCCAGCTGTACCAACATACTATAACATCCAGCTGTACCAACATACTGTAACATCCAGCTGGACCAACATACTATAACATCCAGCTGTACCAACATACTATAACACCCAGCTGTACCAACATACTATAACATCCAGCTGGACCAACATACTATAACATCCAGCTGTACCACATACTTAACACCTGCTGTACCAACACTATACAACTCCAGCTGTACCAGATACTAGTAACATCCTCTGCCACCTACTATATATCCAGCTGTACCAAACATACCTATAACATCCAGCTGTACCAGAATCACTGTAACATCCCCAGCTGACTCAACCATATAATATCAGCTGTACCAACAACTTATAACCCAGCTGTACCAACATACTTACATCCAGCTGTACCACATACTATATCATCCAGCTGTACCACATACTATAACATCCATCTGTACACCATACTAAATATCCAGCTGTAACACATACTATAACATCCACGTAACCACATCTAATAACATGGTCCTCTGTGCTCATTTGTAGATCACTGGCGCTTGTAACGCCAGGTAGTGGTTCGAATCCCCGTGGTATTATACAGTGACCTAAACGCTAGTGTCCCAGACTGCGTTACAATACCTGGCATGGTGTGTTAGCATCAATGAACTTTCACAAGCTTCTCTCCCTCTCTTCTCCCTCTCCTTTGCATAGCAATCCTAAAAACTGGACAAAAAGCCAGAAAACAGTGTTTTCCTAACCCAACGCAAGCCTCTCTCTCTCTCTCTCTCCTTCTCTCTCTCTCTCTCCGGGAGAAAACAGAGGTAAAAAGAAAGACAGGAAACAGTTTCTTCATGATGGAATGCGTGTCGTTGCGCGTGGATCAGCAATTCAGAAACATGGAAACTTGATCAGCAACTGTTCTGTATTGGTGGAGGAGTGAGAGAGAGAGAGAAGAGAGAGAGAGAGATAGAGAGAGCCGAGAGAGGAATTAGAGAGAGAGAGATAGTAAGAGATTCAGGCAGGATGGGATGAGTGAGAGTATATGTTTCCCATCGCCAATAAAGCACCTTACAATTTATGTTGAATTGGCGAGAGAGAAGGGGATATAGAGAGAGAGAGAGAGAGAGAGAGACGAGACAGATAAGAGAGAGAGAGAGACAGAGAGAGAGACAGACGAGAGAAGAGAGATAGATCCAGAGAGAGAGAGAGATAGATAATCTATATAGATAATATAGAACTATAGATAGAGATAGTGAGAGAGATTATTGTTGTGGGGGGGGTGGTTGTGGGGGGGGGGGATTGTGTTTTTTATTATGGATGTCGGTATCTGCTGCTCCACCAGGCAGCTTGATGTTTACTCCACTCCCGCCATGTTCCCATGTCGCCCTACTGAATTATGGTACTTAAGCGATGGGACGCCATTTGGAGGTTTGGCCTTCCTGTTACCGCTGGACATGATGGGGCTTATTGTCTGTGACAGTGAGCGATATGACAGAGGAGAGGAGTGTGTGTGTGTGTGTTAGTTGACACACTGCTGCATGGTGCCTAGCCCAACCAGTTAGCATTGATTTGTGGTTTGTTGTGTCTAGTTTAATTAAAGTCTAACCTAGAGCATTAGGCCTATACATTGCACTCTAGCTATGTTACATTCACTTTTTAGTCAACTCACTCCTCAGAATGTAAATGGAAGCTTGAATAACACTTTGTCCTTTGAATGACTTTTGACTTTTTTCTCTCTCTGCTTTGTTTTGTCCCTCCCTCCCTCCCCTCCCTTCCCCCCTCACCCTCCTACCTCCCTCCTCCATCCCTCCCTCCCTCCCTCCCTCCCTCCCGTCCCTCCCCTCTCTCTCTCTCTCCTCTCTGCTCTCCACTACTCTCCAGAGCACACCTGTCGGGCCACGACACTGGCTGGACAGAGCAGCATGCATGGACGGACGACGAAGAGCGGGAAGGGAGGATTCGCGGGGGGTGAGGGAGGGAGAGAGACGGGGGAAAAAACAAAGGAGGGGGTGGGTAGAACTAGAACGGTCATATACCCTGTGCCGTCAGAAGGAGGTTGAACGCGGAAAACGACGATTGAGAGAACAGACCAATGGAAGCGGTTGATGAAGAACCATCTGAAGGGAATAGGCCGGGGAGTAGAGAAAAGGATAAGGGCAAGAGGAAGGAAGAAGTGGGGAGGGACGGGGTGTAGGGGGAGGTGCGAGGTAAAGTGGCGGGGGGAGGATTCAAATGAAAGGGGCGAGGCTGACAAATGGAGTAAAAGTGACGAGTAGACTCAAAGACCAAATTCGGATCGGACAAGCAGAAGGTCTGAGGGTCAGGATACCACTATAGATAGAAAAGAGGGGACACGGAAGGGGCAACGAAATCAGTGACACAAAAGGAGCTCTAGGTCGGATCTCTCCAAAAGTCGGACATCTCTGCTCCTCATCAGCTTCGTATCGGATAATGGCACGCAGGCGCTCGTCCGTGCGCTCATGGCGAAATATCATCCCGGGGCTGCCTTCTGGAGTAAGGCCCTGGAAAAAGTGGCAGGGACTCTCGACCATGGGTCTCTCCGTCCGGAATCGTGGCCGCGGGATCTCCTCTCTCAAAGAAGCCCGCCCCAGAGCCAGAAAAATAAACATGGAATCTCTCGTCGAGATCCTCACTGTCTCCGGCAGTGCAAGGACTCCGCCGGGCTCTCGCGTACGGTCGACTAAACGGTCTGGCTCGGTGGGATCTCGGTGGGTCACGACGGAGAAGCCCAAGTAGTCCGGAAAGATGCAGGAGGGTAAAAGGAAGGTAGTGCATCTCCCCATCTTCCGAGCTCCGAGGATGCGTCAAGGGATCCCGATGATCCACATGGACACGTCCGAGGTGGATCACGGGGAAAATAAGATAGTCTCCTTCGGGGACAGCGACCGTCAGGCAGATCAGGAAGGGATCAATGAGGCATCATCACATGGCAGTGGGGGCAGGGGCTCACTCCCTCAAAGTGCGGCCCTCGGTCGTTCAAAGATGGAATCGCTAGCGTCTGATCTTACTCCGAAATCTCGGTAATCAGTCTCTATCCACTGTCTAGTCATCCTCCTCGCTGGCATGCCTCTCTTCTCTCCTCCCTCCCCATCCCTCCCTCCTCTCCTTTCTTGCCTTCCTTCCTTCCGGGTGTGCCTTCCCTTCCTTCCTCAACCTTCCTTCCCTATCCTTCCTTTGCTCATCCTTCCGTCCTTCCCGTCCTCCCCTCCCGTCCCTCCCTCCCTCACCTCCCTCTCTTCTCTGTCTCTCTTCTCGTATCTCATCTTCCTCGGGTAAGAGGATCCTCTCTCTCATCCGATCTCTCACTCTCTCGGTCTGAACCTCTATTCATCTCTCGTCTCAATCTCTCCTCGTCTCGCGCTCCTTCTCTCTCTCTCTCATCTCGAGTCACTCTGAGGGAGGGGCCCGCCTCTCTCTCTGCGCCCCTTCTCTCTCTCACCTCTACATCAGTCGTCGTGGCAAGCACGCACTGCTCTCTCTCGTATGCGTCCTCTCCTTCTCTTAGTGTCGATAGAACGTCTCTCTCTCCTGGGATCTGTTAACTCAAAAATACCCAAGTCACTTCCCTCTACTTGCACTCTCTCGGCCATTACGAAGCGGCTCTCTACGTAGGCTCGGAACCAGCTCGCCTCCCAAGAGGAAACATAAAAAAAAAAAAAACAAGCATCTCTTCTCTTCTCTCTCTCTCTCTCTCTCTCTCTCTCCCTCCTTCCCTCCCTCTCAGACCAACCTGCTAGACCTAAAGGAGCATGCGTCGTCCCTGGCCTCCTCTGGTCTGAAGAAGGATTCTAACTTGAAGAGTCGGATCATCTCTCTGGAGCATAGGAAAGAGAGTGATCAAGATGAGACCCAGCTCAGAGGCTATCTTTTTCTCATTCTCACCCCCTTAATCAAAAAAAAAAAAAAACACATACTGTATCACTGCACTCTGGTCAGTTCTTAGCTTTGCTCCCCAGCTCTGCCCCAGTCAATGATATGGGCCTTCCACTAAACTGAAGTCAGTCCTTAACCCCACTTACCAGCCCTACACTACTCATTGCCATTCCGCTGAAATGAGGTCAGTTCTTACTCACCTCCCTCCTTGTTTGCAGGTCATCTTCCAAGAACTTCCACTGAGATCAGCTATTAACCCTACACCTCGACTCTACCCCATTCAACTTCACAGGTCTCAGACTGCTTTCAGGTCAGTTCTTAGCCTTGTCCCAGTCAACTCTATAGCCGTCCCACAGCAATAGGATCAGTAAATGTCTCTCAGTAGACCTGTCCAATCAGTTAGAGCCTCCTGTAGTGATGGTCTAGTCATGACGTCGCTTAGATAACCCTCCCAACACTGCCCCCATTCCACTGCAGTCAGCCTTCAACTTGCATTCAGATCCGTTCTTAGCCCTATGCATCAGTCATCTACCTAGCCGATTAGCTGCCCCACTGCACGAGGATCAAGTTTAAATGTCCTTGAGATAAAACCTGTCCAGTCCGTGATTCTGCTAGTTTAATTCTCGTGATGGAAGTCAGTTTCTTAGAACAACACACATCTAACCTGCCCCATTCAACGGCACGCCTTCAAACTTCTCCGACCAGTTCTTGTCTTGGCCCAGTCCCTACTAGACCCTTCCATCGTGTGAAGCCCCTTTGGGTGATGTCTAGTGTAGTAGCAGCCACTGAAATATTCCCATACTCTTCCTGCCAGTGGATGACCTGAATTCTGGGCCTAGTCCCTGTCATCATCTGGAATGTGTGTGTGTGTGTTGTGTTTGTGTTTGTGTGGTGTGTGTGTGTGCACCGTGTGGTGTGTGGTGAGTGAGTGTCGTGTGAGTGAGTGAGTGTGTGATCAGACCTGAGGTGGGCACCTCCCCTCCTGTCCTTGAGTGTTCACTGTTCTTCACTTTGGATCTCCTCCTATTTCTCATGTCATTTGTGTTGCTTCTTTTTTCTCTTCCATTTCTTCCCTCTCTCCTCTCCTTTTTCTCCACCCCTCTCTTTAAATCCTTCTTTTTCCTAATGTCTCCGCCATAATTTTTTCCTCTAAGTCTACTTTCTCTCTTTCTCTCTTCTTCTCTCTCTCATCCATCGCTCCTTCTCTCTCTCTCCCCTCTCTCTCTCTCTCTCTCTCTCTGCTCCCCCCTCGCCTCTCTCTCTCTTGTTTCCTCTTCCCTCAGATCTCGTCTCTCTCTCTTCTCAGCGTCTCCTCTCTGGTTCCTCTCTCTCTCTCTCTCTCCTCTTCTCGTAGCTCCTCCTCCTCTCTCGGCTCCAATCTCCTCATCAGTCCGCTCATCTGTTTTCGCTCTCTCTCTCTCTCTCTCTCTCTCTTCTCTCAAAATCTCGCTCTCGGCCTCTCTCTCTTCCCCACCCCCTTACTCTCTGTGTCTCTCTTCCCCCCCCCCCCCCACCCTCCACATCTCTTTCTCTCTCTCGTTCTGTCTCTCTTCCCCCTCTCCCTCTCTGCCTCTCTCTCTCTCTCTCTTCCCCCCCCCCCTCTCTCTCTTCTGCTCATCTCTCCTCTCTCTCATCACCTCTCCTCTCTCTACTCTCCCCTCTCTCTTCTCTCACTTCTGCCCTCGTCGTCTCGTCTCTCTCTCGTGGTGCCCTCCCTCTCCTCCTCTCATCTCGGTCTCTCTCTCTCTCTCTCTCTCTCTCTACTCTCTCTCGGCTCTCCTCGTCTCCCTCCACTCTCATCGCGCAAAGCACACTCATCATCATGCTGGTCCTGGTAAAAGAAACAGGAAGTGGCGTGATCTATCAAAATGGCTTGGCAAGAGTCTGGTGAGGGAAAAGATGGGGCGGGAAGTAGATGTGGCCAGTCGAGTACGCTGGGGGCTAGGTCACTAACCTTGACGCAGCAGGGGTGCGAGAAGATGGTAAAAAGTGAGGAATGCTTAGCGGGAGGGACGGCACCAAAGGCCGAGCAGGCAGAGGAATTCAGCGCCTACGAGTGAGGTTCTGGCAGGATAGACTGCAAGGAAGGGGTGTCAAATCTCTCTCTCTTCATTTCCCCACCCTCTTAACTCTCTCTGTTCATCTTCGCTCCCCCCCCCTCATTCCTCTCTTATGTCTCTCTAGCCCTCTTCGCTGCCCCCCTCCCTCTCTCTCCCTTCCCTCTCATTTTCCTCCTCCTAAAGCGTCCTGAGCTCAAATGTCCGACCATCCCTACAATCCTTGTAAGTGCCCGTGGTGTGAAATTCCTCCCAGCGGTGTGTGCCCAGGCAAGCATTCACTGTCTGTGTGTGTTGTGTGTGTGTGTGTGTGTGTATGGCATTCTGTGCACCTCACCATGATTGATTGAGTGTGTGTTTATAGTTTGTTCTTGCTTCACAGTTCCCAATCATCTCCATTCAACTTTAGCTAGCCTTGGCTTCCATCCCCAGTGCACTAGCTAGCTGCAGGCCATCCGTATGTCTGATGGCTATGCCTGGATTCTCCCTCATTTGTTTCACGATGTAAGCTCACTGGTCTTGACAATGCTCCTTGACTCGCAGTGGGAATGACCAGCTATGTTCATTTCTGAAGGCCCTTTGTGGAGTGAGTTTGTTGTGTGTTTTTAACACCGCATCCTGTTTTGTAACCAGGGCTTCTATAGTGGTCAGAACGTACGAACCACCTCGATGACATGGAGATCACATACGCTGTCCACGTGTTTGTCACTTCAAAGAGTCTATAAAACACAACTCCACATCCTCTCCATTCCGACCTTCTTCCTCACTCTTTCTCTCCTCTTCTTTCCTTTCCCATGGCTCTGCCAATGCTGGCTGGGAGTGTGTGTGTGTGTGTGTCTGTGTGTGTGTGTGTGTGTGTGTGTGTTCACACGGACTCGTATAGAGCCGGGGGTGTTTGTGAGACGGTTCCTGACAGCCTTACAGACGTGTTCACAGTTGGATGAGACAGGTGCCGGCGTGCCCGCGCGACCTGACAGTGTTTTTTTGTGTGTGTGTCTGGTGTGTGTGTGTGTGTGTCTGGTGGTGTGTGTGTGTGTTGTGTGTGTCCGGGTGTGTGTGTGTTGTTGTGTGTGTGGTGTGTGTGTGTGTTTGTGTGTGTGTGTGTGATCCAATCAGTTAGCCTCCCTGTTATGTGATGTCTAGTCAAGAGTCAGCTCTTAGATGAGCCCTCCAACCTGCCCCATTCAACGGCACAGCCTTCAAACTGCATTCAGATCAGTTCTTAGCCCTATGCATCAGTCATCTACATAGCCGATTAGCTGCCCCACTGCACTAGGATCAGTTTTATGTCCTTGAGTAGACCTGTCCAGTCAGTGAGTCTGCTATGTGATGTCTAGTGATGGAGTCAGTTCTTAGACAAACACTCCAACCTTCCCCATTCAAACTGCTCTACCAGACCAGTTCTTAGCTATGGCCCCAGTCCCTTACTAGACCTGTCCAGTGTGTGAGCCAGCTTTGTGATGTCTAGTGGAGTAGACAGCCACTGACAGATCCCATACTCTTCCTGCCAGTGGATTGACAATGAATTCTGGGCTAGTAGTGTAATCAATGATTTGTTGTATGTGGTGTTTGGTGTTGTGTGTGGTGTGTGGGTTGTGTTGTGTGGTGTGTGACTGTGTGTGGTGTGTGTGTGTGTGTGTGTGAGTGAGTGTGTGTGTGATCAGACTCTTGAGTGGCACTCTCCCTCCTGTCCTTAAAGTGTCACTGTTCATTCACTTTGATCTCCTCCTGTTTCTCATGTCATGTGTTCTTGTTTTTATTTCTTCCACCTCCTCCACACTTACTTAATAAGAATTCTAAGTATCAAAATAATTT